TGGTTTATATCTCTTATACACATACAAAGCAAGCAGTGCCCAGAGTACCAACTAAACTGCCTAGTTAGCCTGCTGTCCAGTCTTAGTGACATCACATAGTATTTTGAATCATATCTTCTCTTTCATTCCATCTGGTTTTTGTTCTATCTTATTAGAAAAAACATGCTAAAAAAACTAAACCTTACGTTTTTTTTTCTGACCTGCTGGTAAAGATCCTTTATGCCTGTCTTCACCTATCTGTGCATTTTTTCTTAAAAACTGTGCGCATATTGTTTCAGTAATCAGTGCCGTGATTTCCATGACACACAGCCCTGATTTTCTTACAAGCTTGTTTTAATCACTGTGATTTAATTTGTTGACAATTTTAGTAATTCAGATATTTAATTTTTTTTTTAATTTCAAATTCTGACCACTGATATGCCTATTTTTGAGTAAGTCAAAGGTATATAGTAGCTTTTTTAATGCCTTGACCACATGGAAGTGCTAGTGAATGACTGAGGTGCTCCCAGGTGTGTCCAGGGACCCCAAAGTTTTAAAGAGATCAGTCATTCTTATGTACAAAGGTACCCCAAAGTTTTAAAGAGATCAGTCATTCTTATGTACAAAGGTAAAGGAGACTTAGTATGAAAGATTTTTAATAAAAGTGGTGTGCATAGAGAGAAGGTATATTTTTCCTCACTAAAACAACAAAAAGTCCCCATTTCCTTGTGGGTAAATGCCCAGCCAAACAAGGTTGGCCTGAAGTGGGACTGCTGGCTCTCTAAAAGCTTGTTACAAGTCTAAGCATGGTGGGGAACTTCAGGAATAGGGCAAAGAGGGTCAGGCAAGACTATGCTGAAAGAAGCAAAATCTAAGTAAAGGGCACCATTGTCATTTCTCATGTGTTTACCACCCAAGTGTCTCTTCTAATGTCTCTCCTCCACAGATCTCTTTCCATATCTCCTTTCCAGTAGTACCAATGTGTAAAAAGGGCTCAGGAACAAGAGCTCTCTTGTCTTCTGCTCTTGAGAGCCCACCTGCCTTTTGTGTTATATCACCTGGCTGCTCAGCTCCGCCCTTATTTGAGTGGAGGGTTGAAAAATGGTACCCTGTTTATGGAGGGTTGAAAAATGGTACCCTGTTTATGGAGGGTAGGTTAAGTGAAGATTGGGTCTCATTGCTTTTTCTAGAATGTTTCAGGGTATATTTATGATGTTTCAGGCTATATTATTTATGATTTAATCTTTTTGTCTTTACTTGGTGTTTCTTATCACATCCATTTCCTCTTGTTTTCCTGCTTCTGGGCCCTTAATACTCTTTTTGTTTTCTTCAGACTTCCCATTCTTGTTTGGTTTTCGTTCCCCACAACTTATTTTTATATTTGTTCTTTTTTCAAACATACAATTACTTCTTTCTGGCTATTTCATGATCAGATCAGTAGCTCTGTTCAAAGTTTTATTTATTATTGCGAGTCACTTCCATGTCTGTGAATTAACACTACCAACTCATTAGAGACCTGAAATTAAACCCCAAGTCGTATAGGCATTAATCTATTTCATCATTCCCTTAGATACTCTTTCATGTAATCTCCCCTCTTTTCTTCTATGTTTTTGCCACTTCTGCATTTTAGATCAATTCATTTCATGCCTTGATTATCCACACTCCTATTCAATTGACCTTTCCTTGTTCAATTTATTTTGCCTAGGTCTGAGCTTTATCTAATGTAAAACTTTAATGTTAATATTAGTTTTAAACTGAAAGTCTCATTGACTTTTTCCTCATTCATCTGACCACTATTAGAGCATATCCCTGTTGTACAAGCAAGTTTCTTACATGCTGTGCAAGTAAAAGTGAACAAGATGACAGCACATTCTAATGTGAGTGAGGCGGGAGGGAGAACTTGGTAGAACCAACGAAATGAACTTGGTAGTTTTGGCTTCTGATTAATGTTACTGTGTGGTAGTGTATTGCCTTGAGAAACTTCTCTTTGTCGCCTTTATTGAGCTGAGACATGTTGGCATCTGAACCAGCCATGTTGGGAAAGATGGGAATGAAATATAAATAGGTAAGAAGATATTGGAAAACATTTTAATGACTTGGAAAGTTCTTACTGCCCCTAATGAAAAGACAGGATGGTCTTTAGCTATTTGTGTAGATAGGAATTCAGTACATCTGAATAGTATCTCAGTATAAAGTGATCACAGAAGCAACTCACACATCATGGGGAAAGGAAAAGGATAGATTGTTCAGCAATGGAGTTGGGGAAATATCATATGTGTGATTATTTGCTTGATTGGCTGCTACTTGGAACCAGTTCATGTCTGGAGAACAGGGATTCATATAGCAAAACAAAACTGATAGAGAGGAAAAATTTCATCATTAGTGTTTTTTTTCCAATTGATTTTTAGATTTTTTTTTTTAACAAGTGATCCATGTGTGCATCCTTACTTTCTAAGGATTATTCTCCGTTGTTTTTTTAAAGATTTGTTTATTTATGCATACAGAACTGGGATACAGGCCAGAAGTGCAGGGGTGGTGACAAGATTCACCAGAGACAGAGCAGGGAGCAGAACTGGCAGATTGATGCAGACTGCTGAAGGGTGCATTGGGGCAAGACATGTGAGGCCTGCTGCACGATATAGGTCACTTCCCTGGCTGGGGATTGAATTTACACCTAAGCAGCTGTGGCTAACTTCGTTGAGCCACCGGGAGAGTCCTGATTTTCAGATTTCTTAATCTGTCCTTCATGTTCTCTATTCCAAGGTAACAAAGAATGTGTTTTGACCAGTTGATTTCTAAAATTTACTAAAAGATCTGTTTCTTGGGATTTTGCGATAAGGAGGCCAATTTTCCATTTTTGATTGCCAGAGATTAAATTCCAAATCTGTCTGGACTTCACAGCTTCCAAATATTGGTCTTTAGGTATAAGGGGAGGTCTCTGGAGTGTGACTTCCAGAGTGTGGCTAAATCAGATGTCACTAAAAAGATAAGAAATTGAACTAACTCTAAGCAAAGTTCCACTGGCAGTAAAAGTGAGACAAAATACCCTTGTATGTAGTTGTGTTTTTAAACAAATTCAATTTTTAGAAACTTCCATCTTCCTTAGTATACGTCCATGATTTGAACCTTAACAATCTGAGGTTGACTGGGTGTTTCTTTAGACATTATACTTAGTCATCTGATTCTCCATGTGAAATTATTTTATTTGGTGATCCCCATGCCAGTGCAGGCCTAATTAGTGTCTTCCTTAATTTATACACTTAGTTATCCATTCGTTTATTTGTTTTTAAAAAGTTACTCATTTGTTTATTTTAAAAAATAATGCCCATTATTCACTGTTACTAGTCATTTGATCACATGTGTACTTGAATCAGTCAGATGTAGTAATGCTGTGACTTTTGTTACATGCTTTGTAGAAAAATACTTATCTGTCCTTTTTTTTTTTTTTTTAAAGATTTATTTATTTATTTATACAGAACTGGGATACAGGCCAGAGATATGGAGGGTGAGAGGATTCACCAGAGACAGAGTGGGGAGCAGAACAGGCAGATCGATGAAGTACACTGCTGAGGGGAGCAGCGGTGGGTCAGGAGAGGTCTCCCGCGCCATGTGGGTCTCCTTGGGGCAGGCGGGGATTGAACTCATGCGGAAGTGGCTTCCGCAGTGCTTTAACCTTCTGTGCCATGGGGGGGGGGGTGCAGAACAATACTTATCTGTCTTTTATGTCTTTGTCTATGTCAACTAAATTTCACTTTGTACTTCACTGTTAGCTGTAGATGTAGGAATCGAGTGATGGTATCCTTATTAAAGTTGCTTGTTTTCCTGAAATTTTTTTCGAAGATTTATGTATTTATGCATACAGAACTGGGGTACAGCTAGAGGTGCAGGGGTGGTGAGAGGATTCACCAGAGACAGCAAATTCACCAAGTACACTGCTGAGAGAAACAGCAAGTGGGAGAGGAGAGGTCTGCCACGCCATGTGGGTCACCGCAGGGACCTGGGGTTCAACTCGCACTAAAGCGGCTGTAGCTGGCTTGCAGCATTGGCATCCTTACCCACTGCGCCACCAGGGAGGGCCCTTGTCTTCTTGAAATTTTATACTGTTTGCCAAACCATCTTACTGCAAACTCAAACTGACTTTTAGATGTTTGCTTAAATTCTGGGCTCTCATACTTCTTCAGATTATTTCTTGAAATTTTTAAGTTTGTAATTTTTTCCTTCACAAAGGAAGGTGTCATTTTACAATTTCTTTCTAGGGTTGGACATCTACTAAACTTACATGGTATTATGGAAAGGAGGACTATGTGTACAGATTATGATAATGTTAGTGTTTTTCAGTTAATAATGAAGGGCAAATAACCTATTTTTTTCTTTTTTATTATATTAATTTATTTTTACATATTTTTGTGCATTTTTCCATCTCAGTTTCAATCCCCTTGGAATAGCCTATATTGTAACTGAATCTGGACCAGGCTGCTTTGTAATGTTTGTATTTGCAGAGACGTGATATTTAACTTCACTTTTATTGCTATTTTGTGTCATTTTGCAAGATTAAGTTACCAGTGTTGGAAGGACTAGGATGTTGATTTTTTTTTTCTATAGGTATATTAAAAACAAATTCTGTGCTTAAAATGACAGTCTTCAGTAAACAACATCAGGGATGTACTCTTGAATAATGTACTTGCTAGGTCCTCTGAAGATTCAGAAGTAAATCTGATCAGACTCCTGACAGCAGGAATCTTTTGAGGTTGTGTGGTAGATTCTATACCTTTTGAAAGAGAGTTTTTGAAGTGAACTCTGTAATTTTGCCAAGGGAAAGTGGGTTCAACTAAGACACTTTATTAAAATATCTTTATCACCAGGCCTCATGGGTGAAGTTCTTTTAGTGACTTAAAATTTTTTAACAACTATTATAAATACTGGCAATACTTAAAGGCTGTCCATAATACTTAGGCTGCTTTAATTTTGTATTTGAATTGTTTGTTATTATGTGTTAATGTAAACTATTATTTTCTTTTTAGTTTACTAGCAAATGGTCAGTTTGAAATTGTGACAGGTGGCTGGGTTATGTCTGATGAAGCTGCTACCCATTATTTTGCCATAATTGACCAACTAATCGAAGGACATCAGTGGCTGGAAAAAAATCTAGGAGGTATGTATTGATGTCTTTCTCCTTCATTGGTGATAGTTTGGGCAATTAATTTTGAAGAATGTGAGATGGGGCTCTATTTTGTTTTTGTATGACTAATTTCCCCCAGTACTGATTACGTTGAATAATTTATCCTTCATTTATTTGTCATAAGCTCTTTCATCATAAATTTTACATAGCTACATAATATATAACATATAGTTATTTTAAGGGCCATCTTGTTTCTTTTGTTTATCAATTATTTTATTTATATTACTATGAAATATTTTTTCTAAGAATTTCCAACTGTAATTTTAATGATCTGTTAGTTAAGATTCTTGATCATAAGAGAAAAAAAAATCCTCAGTTACTAGCTGGAGCAAAAAGAATGAAAAAGACAAAGAAAGCTATTAGTTTTGTCATTGAGAATTTTAGTGATATGCTGCAGCATTAGGTAAGGTTGGACCTTGGGAACTCCAGTTATATTGTGTGGGCATTATCTCCTTTGGCTCTGCTTCTTTGTATCACCTTAGTCTTCTACTGGCTCTCTCCTTATAGTAAGATGGTAATAGGCAGCTGGGGCTCTTATCTTCCTAGACTAATAATCACAAGAAATAGTTATGCTTAGTATCTACCCAGTTAGCCCTATTTGAATTAAGGTGTTTTTTTTTTTTTTTTAATCTCTGAGCCAGTTACAGGAGTTGAAATCAGAGAAACCTAGCTTGTTTGATGGAAATAATTATGAGTCCTCCCCTTCCCAAGTTTTTGTTATTGTTAAGAATAAGACAAAGATAAGCCTATGTAAAAGAGATAAAAGTTTGAAACTTATCTTTACAAAGGTCTTCTACAGAATTGACCCTTTGCTAAATTCTATATACTTGAATTTTCTAAATGCTGTTTCTCATTCTGTGTAATTGTGAAAATAATGTAGTTTATGGTACTACTTATTCTTCCTGTGAGAATCTAGAAACTTTATATGTATTAGGCAGAGGGTGCCTACTTGACTTATCCCCAATAACATCTTTGGACATTGAGTCTCTTATGAACTTCCTTGGTTTGGTGGCATTTCGTGCAATTCAGTGCAAGAGGAATTGAATACAAACTGTGAGAAGATTTAGTTCATGATTTCCTGGTGGATTACATATGCCCGGTTTGCCTTTTCCCTTTGCTGATTTTGCTTTGTACACTCTCCCTATACTACATCCTGCCTGTTGAGTATGACTATGCATTTCTTGACAAATCATTCAGCCGGGGTGGAATTGTGGACTGCACACAATAAAAATTAAATATTTAACTACGTTCTAAACTAAGAATGTTCACTTTCTAAATCTTAATTCATATGGATGTCTTTGTCTAGCTTTCATTGACATAGAATTTACATGCAGTGAAACATAACCAACTTTAACCATAGAATTAACTCATATTTTCATCATCTCAGAAAGGTCCTCCTCATTCCCTCAACACTCCTGTTTGCCCTTATGTCTATAGATTAGTTTTATCTGTGTAAGAACTTCATATAAATATATGAACTGACTTCTGGTATCCGGCTTCTTTTGCTCAGCATACAATTTTTGAAATTTATAATTGTGTTTCAAATGTCAGAAAATTCACCCACTTGAAAGTTCTATTCAATAATTTTATGTTTCTAGAGTGGTGCAACCATCATTACAATCTATTTTAGAACTTGTAAACATTCCCAAAATAAACCTGTGGCCACTGATAGTCACACCCCATTCACCCCTTCTTTCCTGTACCATGCCCAGAAGACCACTAATCTGCTTTTTGTATGTATGGATTTGATTTTTCTGGAAATTCACATAAATAGAACCATTCAGTATGGCCTTTTGTGACTTTCTTCTCTAGACATAATGTTTTCCTGTTTTCTATGTCTGAATAATACCTGTTGTGTAGCTATACCACATTTATCTCAACCTGATGGATATTTAGGTTATGTTCACATTTCTTTGAGGTAGGCATATACCTAGGAGTGGAACTGTGGGGTTATATGGTGATTGTCATTTAGCATTTTTGAAAATTACTTTTACTGAGGTATTGTTGGCATTTTGAAGAGCTGCCAAAATGTTTTCCAAAATGACTGCATTATTATACATTCCACCAACAATATGTGAAGATTCTAATTTCTCTTTATCTTCACTAACATCTGTTACTGTCTGTCATTGTTATAAAGTGTTTGTGAAATGCTATCTCATTGTGAGTTGGAGTTACATTTTCTTAAACATTAATGATGTTAAGCATTTTTTATGTGTATATTGGCTATTTATATATCATCTTTGGTGAAATGTCTGTTCAGATTACTTGCCTACTTTTAAAATTGTGTTATTTGTCTTTATTGTTGACTTGTAAGATTCCTTTATATATTCTTGATAAAAGTTCCTTATTCGATACTGTTTTGTAGTTATTTTTTCCATTCTTGGTGTGTCTTTTTGATTTCTTGACTTGTACTTTGATGCACAAGAAGTTTAATTTTGGGAAGGTCCAGTTTACCAATTTTTTTTTCTTTTGTCACTTGTATTTATAATATCAAAGAATCCACTGTTTTACCTCAGTATCATAAACATTTATTCCTGTTTCTTTCTCCCCTAGGAGTTTCATGGCAGTTTTACTTTTAGATAATGAATACTTTTGAGAATGTTTCGTCTTATTATAGTTTTGGCAGCATTTTGTTCATTAGTGTTCTCTTTCTTTTTCTAAACAATTCAGAACACCACATCTTGGACATTTTATTTCTAGAATTAGTTACGGGATGCTTTTTAAATAATTTAGTCCTTGGTTGCTAATTTCTTCTTTCATGAACTTTATTATGCAAATTTATCTTTTTTTAAGTTTGAGGTTTTATGGTTGCCTTTTGCCCAAAATACCCATATTTTAAACTATCACTTGCATTTTCTTATGCTTTAATATTGAATGTGTTTGGAATAATCTAATGTTACTATTTATATTATTCATATTTCTTATGTTCTAATTTTTAAGTCTATTAGGCTTGCTAAACTAGTTTTTTCCTATATTTTTTTCTAATGGTTTTTATTCTTTTATGTTTAGTAATTTCATTCTTGCACAAAAGCACAAAATATTTTCCATCATCTTTTTTACTGTTATTGGCAAACGTGATCTCTTTATGAAATTTTGGATTTCTGTTACAATGTACATTGCTAAATGTGCCCTTTTACTGCCTTTCAAAAAATATTCACATACACCAAGGAAAACCCTATGGAGGTACTTGTAATCTGGATTCTTTCTTCCCTGGGTTTCTTCCTAGCGCATGTCAGTGTTGTACAAAATGTAGTTTACTTTCTGTCTTTTCTACATCATTACCTCTGAGGGATTCTTGAATACTCTTGTAGCTAAGTTTTCACTCCTCTAGATGAAGTGATTTGATTTGGGAAAGACTCACTAGTGATGCTAAAATCTCAGACATCTTCATAGTGTAAGATTACTATGCCCGGTTTTACTTTATAACTTAATTGGATTATAATTTACAGCCTAAGAAAATGCTCCAAGAATATTTTGTACTTTTTTAAGGTTACATATATATATATATATATAACAGAACTGGGGTACAAGCCAGAAGTACAGGGGCGGTGAGAGATTCACCAGAGACAGAGTGGGGAGCAGAATAGGCAGATTTACTGAAATATGCTGCTGAGAGGGAGGAGCAGCTGGAGAGACAGGAGAGATCCACCTGGATCACCTCCAGGGCCAGGGATTGAACTCGTCCTGAAGCAGCTGCAGCTCGCTTGCAGTGCTGTGCTTTAACCTGTTGCGCCACAAGGGAGGGTTAACGGTGGCCCTGGAATAAGTCAATTCTTTGAGGTTATCTTTAATAGAAAAAGATACGTAGTGACCAAACGCTGGATGCTGAAGTGTGTGTTGGTACTGAGATGTTTTTACATCTAGAACCTTTCTAGTGCCTTGACATGCATGTGTGTGTGTATGTGTGTGTGTGTGTGTATAAAGTTATTACTAATCTAGATAGAGAGGAAGCACCAGTATCAACATGTCTTTAATATTTAATGAAATTCATAATTTGGTCACTTAACACTGCATACTAAGATGATTTGGAACTGTGTAATACATAAAAGCCTTAATCTGTGGTTCATAGAGTATGAATTGAAATGAGGTAGTTTTTATTTCTCTACTACATAACAGTGAGCTGCTGGGTTTTCCATTTCCGCAGAAGAGTGAGGTTTTGGATTGTTTCTTCAGCATCATTGAAGGCAGTAGCTTTTTAATATCTGTAACATGACAGAGTGTTTATTTCAACTCTAAATGATTAGCTTCCAGTGTGATCCCTCTGCCTGGAAGGACATGATAAGTGGCAGAATCTTCTAGTCAGGAAGTCCCGCCAGGAGTATTAGTTATAGGGTAATGCTAGTTGCTCCTGTTCCTTAGAATCCAGAAGACCATGTAACTCTGGCAGGCTTTACTTCATTTATCAATTAAAAAATAATAATACTTATTTTCTTTACCAACAGGAGTGAAACCTCGATCTGGTTGGGCTATTGACCCTTTTGGACATTCACCAACAATGGCATATCTTCTAAAGCGTGCTGGATTTTCTCATATGCTTATCCAGAGAGTACACTATTCAGTGAAAAAGCATTTTGCACTGCATAAAACACTGGAGTTTTTTTGGCGACAGAATTGGGGTATGTAGGTTTTGATGAAATTTGAAGATCTCTATTGAGTTGATCCTTAATTCACAAGGTTATGAACTTATACCATTGTGGGTTTTATTCACATACCAGGTTGCCTATTGATAGACATTCTTCTGATTATTTATAAAATGTATTTGTGTCAAGATTCTTTTAAGCAATGGTGAAAGTATTTTTAGAAGTTATTTTTATGCTTCAATAAATGTAAGGAATCAATCTTTTGCAAATAGTGCTTTCACCTGCAATACTGCTTTTACTTTACTTCTGTTTTACAAGGCACCTGTTTCATCACAAAGCTGAACATTCATTAGGACTGTTAGTGAGTCATTTATCTCATACTCAGCCAGTATTTCTTTTTCAGTCTTTCCTTTCTCTTCATCTACTAAGAATTACCTTTAAAGCCTAACCCTGTTTACCTAGAACACCCTTATAATTCCTGTCACTTGGTTTCACACATTTTGTTGTTCCTAGGACAAACCTCTACAGCTCCTGGTAGGGAAGAGGAGACAAGTCCTCTAGGTAACCTTTGCCTGCCTCTTCCTCCATTTAATTCTAAGCACCTTATTGCTTAAATTTATTTATTGAGTCTTAATACAGACTTGTAGTGTGTTCCGTGCTACATATCCATCTCTAATTGAATGTTAATAATTTTACTTTAAATTAGGTTCCATTATTATTCCTTTTAAATGAGGGAGGAATGGAGGCACAGATTTATTGAAGTCATTTGCCAAGTGTCATACCGGAAATAGTTGCAGAGATAGATGTGAATCTAGATCTAAGCTTTGCTGAAACCCAGGCCCCTAGCCCCTGACATATACTGCCTTTTCAGTATTGAATTCTCAATGACACCTCATCTGAATAAAGGGTTTTTTGTTGCTAAAACAGTGTTCAGAAATCATTGCATTACTTCATACTTGCTTTTGTGTATGTTCTTGGCAACCTCCCCCTTGAGAGTTTCAGAAAGTCACTTGTGCATCTAACTGGTAACATTAGTCTATACACTACTGTTTTTTCAATAAGGAAAAACTTAGCTATATAATATTTTTATTCTAGAAAATGAAACCTACAGGGTAAACAAGAGCTTACAGCATTTACAGCTCCAATAATTAGATGAAATACAAAGGAATGTAATTTTTTTTTAATTGCTAATTGAAGGAGTTCTACATAAACAGTTGTGTACATTTGTATTGCCCTGATGCCTGTCAGGGAAGAATTACTGAGTACCTTTATGTACTTAATACCTTTTTGGAGAGATACAGTAAACATCCTTGCCCATAAGGTAATTGTAGTCTAACTTGATAAAAGACAGTTACCACCAAATTTAGCAAATAAGCTGAAATGTGTAAATTAACTGCTAAATAGTGTGGTATGAGGAGTAGGAGTGGGGTTTTGAGTGAGTCTTTGACCCACAGGGAAAAGAAACAGGAATTTGCCATCAGTTCTGAACATTTCACAACCCTTTGCAGCTAACAAGCACTGGTGACCAGCATCCATGGTGTCCCTCTTATGAATGTGACTCAGTGACACGACTAACAGTACAGAAAAACACAGATTTTAATGGCTTTGATATGTAGAAAAGAACTGGTAAAAATATTTTAACTAAGTGGAGTATGAGATAAAAGTAGAATGTTTCAGGACTTAACCTGATAGATTTAATTAAACATTTTGCATTAACAATAATAGTTTGAAATTAATTTGAACATTGTGTACTCTAATTCTTAATGAAGTAGTTTTCATTTTTTTTAATGTTAATGTTGCTTTTTTTGCTTTTATTTGGTCAGTTTAATTATAAAAATGATATGTACCCCATGTTGAAAATTGTAAATCCACACAAAAATAAAGGGAGAGGTATTTAAAGATTAGACTTATACACAGGTGACCACTTGTGAATCCACACAAAAATAAAGGAAGAGGTATTTAAAGATTAAACTTATACACAGGTGACCACTTGAAACTACTAGTTAAGTCTTCCAATCTCACTTGGTGGTAGGCTTCTGGCCTGTTAAGGGAAATGGCATAAATACATGCTGGTTTTAATTAACAGCTCAGCATTAGAAATCTGTGTCATTTTCCACATCTTGTTTTGTTTGTTTGCTTTGTCTTTATATTTGTTTTGATTTTAAAATTTTCTTTTTCTGTGCATCATCTTGGTGAAAAGCCCTATTGCTATTGGTAGAATTCAGGGAACTCCATGAACTTTCCTGGTTGTGCTTCCTTCTCACTACAAGAAGTGGATAGGAATTTGCGCAGTGTTTTCATAAGCGACTCCCACTTCTTTTGTTCTTTCAGTTTCCCCCTTTATTCCCTTTCTTTCTTCTCACTCAGCTCTGCAGCTAATATAATGGTCTCTCTCAGGGTTTCCTTTTACCTGGGATGGGAACAGATATGGCAGGAACTGGCAGCCAGGGATGGACGTGGCCATAAAATTGTGGATGAACCGATTCTAACTGCTGCTTCTGCGCAGTGTATCTTTCCAGGTCAGCACCTGCTGGTTCGTGATGGGACTTTTTTGTCTCTGCTAAGGTTAGAGAGAAGAGTTAGATAGAGACTGTGATACTTTCCTTCAGGCGGTGTTCATTAAATGCTGCTGGGGCATATGTACTAGTAGATAAAGGGGTGGTTGATTTAGGGTAGAACTTGTATTATGTATGTAAAGTACTGGCATTTTGGAACAGTTGTGGGAAAACAAAGTTTATAAATGCAGGTTTGTCTGTTGGCTCTTTATTTTAGATCTGGGATCTGGCACAGATATTTTTTGCCACATGATGCCCTTCTACAGCTATGACATCCCTCACACTTGCGGACCTGATCCTAAAATATGCTGCCAGTTTGATTTTAAACGGTTTCCTGGAGGCAGATTTGGTTGTCCCTGGGGAGTCCCCCCAGAAACAATAACTCATCAAAATGTCCATAACAGGTATGAAAATATACATTTCATAAGACATTTCAAACAAAGAGCAACTCAGCTTATTGCTGAAGGGTTGAATAAATAAACTTCAGTAGCCAACATTAGCCTTGTTCAAGGTACTCATTCACACCAGATCTAAAGCAGTTTAAATATGCCAGAGCCTTGAATATTCCTCTTATAGGTTATAACTTAATGGAAAGTGAACAATAATAGAACAATATACAGTGGATAAGCTATAATACACTGTTATTGTCATCTCCTTTGCCATCATTATAAAAGCCTTCTACTTTTTTTGATTGATTTAATATGCTTTTATTGATAATAAAGCTTCTGGTCTCTATTATATAAATTAGTGTGAAAAACAACCCAATTACAAAACACATTTATGAAATGAAATACATAAAAAGTATAATTATCTATTCCCTTAATAATAATTTCAGTAACAGTGAATACTGCCCAGTTCTGATGAATATATATATATATATATATATATATCTTTGCATCATTCTGATGTTTTTGACTTCTATAAAACTTTAATTAGGAACATTTATATTTAAAGATGTTTAAATAAAAATCACAAAAAATAATATTTTTTAAAGGAAATTGTGCTAATTATGGAAGCACTTTATTAAACAACATAGCTATAGTTTTAATTTTGGTGCTTTTAAAGTTCAGTTTCTTAAAGATTAGTGGTATATAACATGTTAAAATAAACATTGTGTTGTAATATAAACCACTTAACTCTGCTAGAAAAATAATAAGCCTTTTAAATAATTTGTGCTTTATCACATCTATTTAAAAATTTCTTTTTTTTTTTTTTAAAGATTTATTTATTTATTCATACAGAACTGGGGTACAGGCCAGAGGCTCAGGGACGGTGAGAGGCTTCACCAGAGACAGAGTGGGGAGCAGAACAGGCAGATCGACGAAGTACACTGCTGAGGGGAGCAGCGGGCGGGTCAGGAGAGGTCTGGCTCGCCATGTGGTCTCATCCGGGGCAGGCGGCAGGCGGGAATCGAACTCATGCGGAAGTGGCTTCAGATTCTCAGTGCTGTGCTTTAACCCGCTGCGCCACCAGGGAGGGCCTAAAAATTTCTTTTTAAAAATGTGGATTTCTAAGCACATAGTGTTTTTTGAGGAGGAAAGTCAAATTGGGTCTCAAATATTCCACTGTGAGTTTTTTGCTGTGGCTGCAAAAGTATTTTAGCACAGCTAGTTTTGAATCCCTCTGTCAAAATCTCAACTTTCATTGTTTGAAAAAATGTCCACGATGAGAGATGAGCCTGGTTTCTGTTCTTGATTGGTGAGAATCAGAGAGGAATATTGGAACAGCCTACTTTCTATGGCTAGACAAGTTAGACAAAAGACAATAATCCAGTATATTATGTAGCAACAGATAGAAAAAGGTATAGTAAAGAGGAGTGGTATGTGCAGGAGGGGGATTCCCTTTTTTTGTCTACCTGGGAAAACAGCTGCCATGAAGTCAGGTATTTTTACTCTCCCTCTCAGCAAAGTTGGTCAGGGGCATGGAATTTATTGAAAACTACTCAAATGTTTCAGGTGGGGGAGTTCCTGTGTACTTAAAGGTATTGTCAGATCCCTCTTTATCTTTTTGGGTGCTGCTGAGAATGAATACTTAAGATGCATTCTTGAGGAAAAGATTTTTTTAAAAAATTTCATTCTTTTGAGATTTGCTCCCAAAAGAGCTCATTCAGTTCCATGATTATGCAAGTGGACCAGGTATCTGGGAGAAGATTAATGAATCAACATAATATTTATGTAGATTTTTTTAAAAAAAGGTTCTTAATAATCTTTACTATTACTTAAGCTAGACATTCAGATACCAGCTTCCTTTTGACTTTCTGATGGGTAGATTGAACTTGGGCACTCAGCTTATTGGAATTGACTTTTTAATGCCCTAAAGGAAATGAGATTTAACTGTAACTTAAAGGACATGTTTGCTACCTTCAGTTCGGCAGATTTCCTCCACTATACAGAAATACCATTCTTCATTAAGTTCAATTTTCGGTCTAGTACTATATAATTTAATGTGATAATGATTAGTATATGAGATGATACCATATTTCAGAGATTGATTTTCTATTGGTTCTAGCTAGGTTGACATTTCTCATCTGATAGTATAAGTGAAGAACGTATTACAGTTGTACATCTTCAAATATGTTGGTTAATTCATTTGTTATTAGTTCATCATGTACTTTGAGGATGGTAACAGGTGGTCTCCTGGCTGTCCCAGTGTTTATGCTTTCTGAGCAGGAACTTGAGAGTTGGATAGATGCCTAGGTGGGGAAAAGGATTTCACTACTATTTGTGATTTCTTTCTACTTACATTGTATTAGTTGTAAGATGTGCCATATCTTGTAGTGAACCCCAGGAAGTATTTAAATGGTGCTTTTTATGCTGGTTACCTGGGTGATTGAGTTGATGTATTCATTCAAAAGTTAAATTTGTTATTAGATATTTGGGGGTTCCCCCCCCTTATTTCTCTTGGTCTTATTTACCTTCCTGTGTGATAAATCTTGTGTTTTGTTTTTTTGTTTTTTTGAAACTAGTAATCAACTTTACATTTTTTGGTGAAATTTGGGATATTTTAAAAATACTACTAAATATTAAGTACTCTGCTAATCTCAAAAAATCTTGTATATTATATAAGGACATTATGATTATAGTTTGCTTACCAAAATATCTCAATTTTGCTGGTAATGTTCACAAAGCATTTTTAGAGCCTATCATTATAAAAAGATATGAGATCCTAAAATCAGTGAGGTGTTTTTATAAAATAAAATACTACTTTCCGCTGCTGATGTTTTTTAGTGTCTTCCATAAGTCTTTATAGTGTGAACTGGAGTTTACTTCTGGATAATCCTTGAAAGAAAAATTGGAGTTTTGGGTGAAGAACATATTTGTCATTTATTACTAACTTATAAAACTTTGGCATTATAAACATTGAGAACTACTTTGTGTGGTTAGTTTCATTTTGTCAGTCCTTTCTCTTAGGTGGTTTGTATTTCCAGACTTCCTGTAATGGTACCCCAATAAAACATTTCCCCAGAGGGTGTTTTGCAGAATGCTAGAATGTGAACTATAAAAACACAACCTGGAGAGGTCAAAAGCAAATTAAATTTTAACTCTTCATCTGTTGATCAGTACTGAGATGGATTTTGAATGAGGTCAGGACTCAGCTTATTGATGGCAGGTATTTAAGTGAGTTATTGATAGTTTCCTTTCTGTGAAGAGCAAATAAGGTTTTAGATTTAGTTTTTTCAGAATACCTTTTTTATGTTTTATCAGTCAATTTCAAATTAAAGACAGAAATTTTGACAAGGTAAACTTCACAGTTCATATAGATAGGAAATCCTTATTGTCTTCTTGAGCCAATTTTAAAATATGGTGTCTAGGATCTAGCAGTGAGTGGGCTGTAGGAAGGCATTGCTCTTCTGCCATCCCCTATAGTTGTATGTTAAAACTGGTGTTTATTTGATTGTTTCTCTAAGTGTAATTTGTTGAAAAGCTGTAGGGTTTCCCCTTGATAAGAATTTGTAAATCTATGAATCCTGAAAATTCGTATGGTAGTTTCAACTATCTCCTTAAAAATCATACTAATCTAGAATGTAGGTTAAAATGTACAGTATTTTTTTTTAATATATTATGGTTTTTAGGGCTTTTTTTTTGTCCTTTTCTTAATGCTATTCATATTTACCCTTTTCTTTTGTAGGGCTGAGATGCTTCTAGACCAGTACCGAAAAAAGTCAAAACTTTTCCGTACTAAAGTTGTTCTGGCCCCACTGGGAGATGACTTCCGCTACTGTGAACGCACAGAATGGGATCATCAGTTCAAGAATTACCAGATGCTTTTTGATTATATGAATTCTCAACCTAATCTTAATGTTAAGGTAATGAGAAAACATTTATATATGATACTCTATTCGTGGTTGACCCTTTGTTAGTAAATGAGAAAAAAGCATCAAATTAGTTTATTTGTCTGACATCCCAATATTTCTTCAGATATATACTTATATGAAAATATAATTTATTCAGAAGAATTGTCTTATACTATAGTAACATTAATAAAACTGTCCCTTTATTACTACTCCTTGAGGGTTAAAGAAGCATTTGTTTGGGCTTGGAAACATGCTATTAAGTTGTGATACTCATTTTTCAATGGTCCTGTTTTTCTGCCAGAAAATTTATTGTATATCTCTGACAGTTGTATCCTGATGATTTAATAGTAGATTGGCAGATGCAGATGAATACATAAAGAATTTTGCAAATAAATGTTTTATATCTAGAGAATACACTAGCATATTTTTTAAAGGGGAAGACTTTTATAATCATTTGCCTATTGTTCTTACTCTTTATTTTTCCCCTTATGGAAACCTTTAAACAAGATTACTTATCCCTCTTCCTGGAGTTATTTCAGAGCAAATATAAGAAATAATATAGCTTTGTCTGTAACAATTTTACTATATATAGCTAAATGATAAAATCTCTGTTTAATAAAAAACATAATGCCTTTGTCACATCTAAAAAATAATAATTCAATAATATGTCCTGATAAGATGCAAATTTTCTTGATCTCATAAAAACAGTCTTTAACAGATGCTTAGTGTGAGTCAAGATTCAAACAAGACCTTACATGAGAAAATTACCTAATTTTATTACAGTCACCTTTATGAAAGTCTAGATATATGAAAATACTCTAGAAAGGAAGTAATTTTACTTTGTAGGAAATTAGAAATCTAATGATAGGGCACAGCTTATGTAGTGAGAATTTAAGCTTATTAAGTTAACTTAAATAGTATTAAATACATAATAAGCAAACTTGAATATCATATTTGTCCAAGATACTTACAAGAAAATTTCTACCAGATTATGAACTTTAAGCAACAGTATCATGTTTAAATCATCTCTAATCTCAAAGATAAACTCATTCATGAAAATTTGATCAGAAGGGAGGGTGTATGAAAGTGGATTATGTGTCTTTTCGGTACTATTTTATTTCTTTTATATATTTTAAATATATATAAAATCTTTTTTTATCCAGATAAAAGTTATACAGGTGTGACTCCTTCACTTTGTGAGTTGTGTTTTTTTTTTTAATGGTTATCTTACAGTAAACAGAAATTATTAATTTTAACTACATCTACTATAATAATATTTTCCGTATGGTTAGTACTAACTATATTTTATTTTAGAAATTTTTGTTTGCACCATGGTTGTGAAAATACATATCTTACGAAGCTATTAACTAGAAGCTTTATTGTTTTATCTTCAACATTTAGGGCTACAGTCTGCAATTTGGAATTGATTATCATGGGTCATCTGACAGTAGTGATCAAGATAGGTATTTTAATTATAGGATATGTAGCACCATTTATTGAGAAGACATAGTTTGTCCATTGAGCGTAATTTTTTTCCATTTATGAGATTGAATTTGTGGGGTCCAGATTTCCCATTCAATTGTGTCTATTTGATTAATATCATACTTGCTAACTTCTTAGATTTTATCACAGATCTGAATATTTGATAGTTTTCTGATTTGCAATTCTCAAGATTGCATGGGCTGTTCCTAGCCTATGTATTCTTAAAATCAACTTTAAATTTCTACCCCCTCAAAAGGACAGATGAGTGGATTAGAAGCTGTGGTATATCTATACACCAGAGTATTACTCAGCTATAAGAATAAGATAAACTCTTGCTACTTGCAAGACAACAGAATTGGAAGGGATTATGCTAAGCAATATGAATACAAAGGAAAAAGACTTGGATTAAAAAAATTAAAAATAAAGAACAAACAAATCTAAATAAAAATCTAAACAGAAACAAACCCTACACATCAGACTATAGATTAGCCTACAATATGGGGGAATGTAGGGGAAGTGAGGGAATGGATTAAAGTAGAGGATTATGAGTCCTTTGGTGATGAATAGGTTGTGGTAACACTGAAAAGGTGTGAACTCACTCTGTAAATCTCATCTACAGTGTAGTTAAACCAACATTACCTCATTACCAGCATTACTCAACATGATCTCAGTTAAAAAAGAATAAAATAAAAATAATAGAGTACTGCTGAAGTGAAAAAAAGAAAACAACATAGTATTAATGCCACATATGCATGCAATATATGCTAATATTATGAGTATTATTACATCGTACTACTATACTGAGCTATTACAATACTATTCTAGGATAAGAAAATCATCATATTACTCAGTCACATTCTATAACTATATAATAGAGAAAGTTGATGATGTTTTGTGTAGATACAACAGAAGAATGCAGGGGAATTCATGTACAGGAAAATTCAGATAAGAAAAATCCCTTTCTGTTCAAAATTTAGGGATATATGGCAAGCTACAGAGTTAAGCATAAAGATAATTCAATTAAGTTTCAGTATTAACCAGGATGAAAATACTTCTTGGTATTTTTTTTTTTTTTAAGATTTATTTACTTATTCAGGAACTAGGATACAGGCCAGAGGTGTGGGAGCTGAGAGGATTCCCCAGAACAGAGTGGAAAGCAGAGGGGAACAGTGAGTAAGATAGGAGATGTCTGCTGTGCCATGTGAGTCAGCTCCCTGGCTCCTGATAGCTTCATAGTGCTGAGATTAAGCCCCTTACAACACCAGGGAAGCCCCATTCTTCTTCATGGTAATTTTAAAGAGTAAAATTTATATAAGTAGACAAATGGACTTTTTCACAAACATTGAAATCTGAAGTTCTGAAAAATAATAATGTACACTTGAGTTATTTCAAAAACTTCGTAATCACTCCATTATAGATTAGTAAACTGAGGAACAGTTGTCTAATGCATACTGTTTTTTGTGAAACCAAAGTAAAAGTAGATAATATAGTTGAAATTTGTATTTCTTTAATATGAACATAAAGACTCAAATAACAATCTCTTACTGTTAACAAAATTTACTTTATCATAAATATGTAATATGTGTTTGTCTTACTAAATCTCTTGTTTTCTAATTGGAATCATGCCTTTAGAGTGGAGACATGATAGTTAAAACCTACAACTTTGCTTGCCAGTCATATTTTAAAACTTTTTACTGATAAAACCTTACTAGCTACAACATAGAGTGGCACAGAAGCACTGTATAATATGCCCAGGCACATTAGGTAGAGATAATACATACCATCTGAATCCTGATTCAGCACTTTACTTCTTTCTCTAGAGTGCCTACTGTTTTTATATATTCTTAATAATTTTTTCTACTACATTGAATCAAAATAACTTTCAGGTGTATATATGTGTCTCTGTGTGTGTTTGTGTTTTTATATGTAAAAGGAAGGAAACAACATGAAATTTTAAAATGAAATTCATTCCCTGTTGAATTATGTATTTATTTCAAATCATAGTTATGGTCTTTGTATCTGTATACTGTCTTTGTCATGTATAATGTTCCTTTCTCCTTTGATTTGTAGAACATTTTGGACACAATGGATTTATCTCCTGGTAATTTTAATCTTTAGTTTAAAAGACCTTTTTGTTTCAATTGTCAACTTTGCAGTTTTTATCACTTTGTGTTTTACTCCTACTCATTGTATCTTCTGATATAAAAAGTCAGGTTTTTTTTAAATGATCTGCAGAGTTTTTTTCCTATTCTTTGTAAGAACTCAAACTGAGCATATATCTGAGTATACCGGTATACTTAATAACTGTAACAAATTTTTCTTCCAGACTGTGGAACATTTTGCTCAAATATGTCTTTCATTTTTCCTCATTCCTCCAACTTTTATTTATTTATGAACTGTTTTATGCCCTTATCCTTGTACACTTATTTTGGAGTTTTATAAGGCTTTTTTAGATCCTTAAATTTGGTAACTCCAAATGACTCTTGTAACTAACTTCTCTCAAACTTGATGTGGGTAAAAGAAAGAGTCATTAAGTATTTTCTCCTGATTTTGAGTTTTGTAAATCTGAGCTTTATTCATCTTACCTTGAAATCACATCTTAAATATTTATTCATGACTTCTTTTCGATGTTAGAGATAATTTTAAGATAGTATAAATAATTGAAGCGTACCTTTGCTTTTTTTTTTTTTTTTTTAACTAGATACAATTTGGGACTTTGTCCGACTATTTTGATGCAGTGGATAAAGAAAATGCAGCCAGCAAAGAGAATAGCCAATTACTTTTCCCTGTTCTAAGTGGAGATTTTTTCACTTATGCCGACCGAGATGATCACTATTGGAGTGGTTACTTTACATCCCGGCCCTTTTACAAACGATTGGATAGGATACTGGAATCCCATTTAAGGTATTATTACCTTTAGATATCTACATTTATTAATTCACTTCTTTGATGTTAGCATAGTCTTTTCAGTACAGTTTTGCATAATACATGACACTTATGCAGTGTTAGGATGTGTTTAATGTAATTGTGAAATTTTAATACAATCAGAGAGCTGCTTCCACAGCATAATTGAATTATTATATGAGTGTTTTTTTTTCTGGAAATTGAAGCAGTTCATTTTAATTAGATATTCTGGGAATTATAATCTATGCTTTATATTTTTCTAATTTATTACTTGCAGTATTTTCATGCCATCATACTATTCAGTGATATTGACACATGTATCTGCAAGTCAGTGTTCTGCAGGTTGTATATCAAAATATCAAGTGTTATCTCAATGTCCAAATGAATGTATTTTATTGTTAGCAAATGTCAGAGACTGCATCTCCATTCTCATTTATTTGAAATGCATTTCTATAAGTATGATTTTCTGCTTAGAAAAACAAAATTTGAAAAAGATGAGAACTGATAGAGGCAGAGCAATTGGTTGAAAAGGAAACTGACATGGAAAAGAGAAAAATCAATACAAACCAAAATACTAAATGAGTTCTATTTTGTAGAATTTTCACTCACTCTCTAGTGTTTTATTACAGTGATAGAGATATTTTATTCCTATTTCTGTAGTATTTAATAGGCAACTGCTAGCTACCTATTAGCATACCATGTAACCATGGAGCATCTGAAATGTGGCTACGGTGGCTAAGGAATAACTCTTCATTTTAGTTTAGTTAATTTAATGTAGTTAGTCAAATGTGACTTGTGATTGTCACCATAAAGAGTACAGGTCTTAGTGAATTTGATAGGTTTTTGGTAAAAGTCCCTCAGATTACTAAGACTTTACCTAGGTTCCTAGGTGTGTGTAGCCTAGAACAGTAATGAATTCCTTTCATGAATTCAAGGTGACTAATTTGCATATGATTCTCAGTCTTAAAAATAAAAAAAGTTATAACTACCTGTTTGTAAACTGTAGTAGATATTGAGTACACTTTGGATCCCTTTTATAAAAATGATGAAGGGTTGTACTTTAGTATTTTTATGTTTGCTGTTGTGCTTCTGTTAATTTTAGCAGCTTAAGTTTTGACTGCTTTTTTTAATATTCATAAATATTAAAATGTTGAATACATTTTATTGTACTTATAATAAATGTATAACAATTTAATATACTAAATACATTCTTAAACAGTAGTTATATATTATAGAATATTATACGTTCTTACTTAAATGAATATTGATTAGTTATCTGTTATGGTATTCTAAACTATGATGAAAACAGAGCAACTACTAAATATAAAGGAGAAGAAAATATTTTTTAAATCAACTGTTTTACATTTTGCCGTATCAGCTTTTTATGTACTCTTTTCAAATTCAGAAATTTTTGCATACACACCTACCATCCGTTAATTTAAACATTTTGACTCCCATATTATGAAATTCATAAGTGTTGAAATTTAAAGTGAAGCTTATTTTGTGTATTTTTATTATTTCAACAATTTTAAAGAAGTCAGCTTTTTAACAGAAAAGGTATCTTGAGCCTCTCCTTTTCATATATCTTGATACATTTTCTATTTGCCTTGATTCTCTCCAACTGTAAGATGTTTGTTAGGAAGAACTTCCTTACATTTTTTTTAAACCTTTAATATCTCTTTATTATTTTTAAAATATTTTATTTATTTTTGTGTAGAAGAACTAGGGTGTCAGTCAGAGATGAGGAGATTGAGAGGATTCACCAGAAACAAAGTGGAGATCAGAGTAGGCGAGTTTACTGAAATACACTGATGACGGGAGAAGCAGGAAAGACAGGGGAGGTCTGCTGAGCCATGTGTGTCAGCACCCTGACTGTGGATCAAACACAGACAATTGCACTCAGGCCATTGTGGTGATAGTGTAATAGCACTGAGACATACCCCTAGCCACCAGGGAGGCCCGAATCTCTCTTTTTAAAGTACTTTTTAGAAGTCTATCTTGAACTATATCTTGTCATTAAAAAGATGGGAAATCTATACATTTAAATACTTGCTTAGAAAGTAGTCTTACATTAAGCTATTCTTTTTTTTAAAATAAATGAGAACTCAATTTGTGTTATCCTTCAGTTTATATTACTCTATTCTCTATTATATGTTATTATTTCACATTTAGACTAACTCTTGTCAGTGAAACATCATTTTACTCCTAGTCTCTCCCTCTTGTGACCATTCTTTTTCTACCATGTCTTTGGAATGTGTATTTGTGAGAGTAAATATTTATGACCATGTTCATGGTATATGTGATGCTCTCAGAGAGAAGCAAGAACAGAGATATTTATCCAGTACCGATGGCTGTGTTGAGATATTTTTTCAATATGTTATATATAAAAAAAACCTATTTTGCTATTACTAATGGGTACTGCATTTTGTAGGGTCATCTAGTGCAAGGTTCCTGTGTACCAACATAGGCAATGTTCTTTGACAGTTGAGAATTAAGATTTATAGGGTAGATACAGTTGTGTTTTTAGAAGTGCTTCTCGTCAACGTCCTTCTCATATTTGTACCAAAATTGTGGATTTAAATTTTTTTAATGTTATCATTTCCATACATTTTAGATAGTAAGCTAAGATACTTTCTTTGAAATAAAAATTAATTACTGTTTTATGCAATTAGGGCTGCTGAAATTCTTTACTACTTCGCCCTGAAACAAGCTCAGAAATATGACCTAGGTACATTTCTTTCATCATCACATTACACGGCACTGACTGAAGCCAGAAGGAATTTGGGACTGTTTCAACATCATGATGCTATCACAGGAACTGCAAAAGATTGGGTCGTGGTGGATTATGGAATCAGGTAATATAATTATTGAAAGGTGATCTTAAAATTGAATAAACTGAGTCTTCAGACATTTTGAGTCATGAGCTTATAACTTTTGATGAAGTTGTTAATTAATGGATCTTCAGGGCACATTAATAAATGTTATAAAAAGCAACACTATTTTTCAGAACATTTTTCATGGGATTTTTATAAAATACTAGCTTTCCTAACTTGTATTGCAGTACATTTCTGCAAAGAGGATAGTAAAAGTCATTCTTAAAACTGATGGCACTTTTCCCCTAAGTATAGTGTGATAATTGATACTACCTTCTTGACCAAAAATTTGGAATCACATGATGAATCATAATTTAGGGAGATAAAGTGTCTTACCTTGTTGTGGAACATTTAATATCTGTATCATGTTCATTTGTTTCTGGATAGCTTGTTTTTGTTTTTGTTTTTTTAAGATTTATTTATGCTTACAGAACTGGGGTACAGATGAGAGGTGTGATGGGTGAGAAGATTTACCAGAGACAGAGTAGGGAGCAGAACAGGCAGATCTACTGAAATACACTGCTGAGAATAGCTTGATTTTTCAAAGGGGGAGAGTAAACCTAAAAACAGTAAACCTAGTAAACCTAAAAACCATAAACCTAGACGCATCACCAGAAAATACAATGAACCCAGAGACTTTGACATATATGGCTTGAATTTTATATTAAAGCCATCTTTTACTATTTGAAGATCTGTCAGATAAATGAAGGACTGGAAACCTAGTTCCTTTCATATTGCAAAATTGAATACTAAGATGATACAATACAGACTGTGTTTCATAGTAGCAGAGGATTTTGCAAACAGAACCTGCTTATAATGGACTTTTTGTGATAGTGAAATTTCCATTATTTTGCCAATTTGGGTATCATGCAATAAGATCAATGTATAGAGCAGTCTTACATTGGAGAAGGAATTTTGAGTATTGTTTCACTATCATTTTGGACTATTCTTCGAAATATTTTCCCTCTCAAAAATGGTATGGTTTGATAATATTTTTTAAATCATTGAGATTATGCTGTGATTTTTCTTATAATACAGGTTTGAAAAGTGAATATACTTATTTTTAAAAAAAATATTTATGAATACAAGAACTGAGGTGTGGACCAGGGATGGGGGCGTGGTAAATAGATTCACCAGAGACAGAATGGAAGAGGCAGATCTACTGAAATATACTGCGGACGGGAGCAGCGGGTGAGGTAGAAGATGTCTTGAACTCTGCTGTGGCATGTAGGTCACTTCCTTTGTGGGGGATCAATCTCATGCTGCAAGCTGGTGATAAGTGCTGAGACAAATCTTTGTGCCACCAGGGAATGCCGATGAGTGAATATCCTTTTTAAATATAACCACATGTGGAAAGTGTTTACAGCACATATACTCAACATTAAGCAATTATTTGCAAATGATCAATTACTAATTGTAATAAATGTTAATTTTTATTTATAGTATTTTGACTGCCATGCAATTGGGAAAAAATATCCTAAGAATCCTTTCAGTGACTTGAGTCCTTAAAAATATATTTGAGGGCCCTCCCTGGTGGCGCAACGAGTTAGCACACAGCACTGCAAGCAAGCGCAGCTGCTTTGGTGCCAGTTTGATGCCCGGCTCTGGAGGTGACCCATATGGCGCTGCAGACCTCTCCTGACCCATCAGCTGCTCCCCTCAGCAGTGTACTTCGTCAGTCTGCCTGTTCTGTTCCCCACTCTGTCTCTGATGAAGCCTCTCACTGCCCCTGCACCTCTGGCTTGTACCCCAGTTCTGTATGAATAAATAAATCTTAAATATATATATATATATATTTATATTTGAGGCAGTATCTTGAGTGTTTTTCAGCTTGTGACAAATATATCTCATATCCACCTACTGAAGGTTGGTGGAATTAAACTGGAAAGTTCACACTATGACAGTGATGTTTTTTTTTTCCCATAGAAAAACAATTTTGTTAGTAAGGCCAGAACGTCCATTTTTCCTTTTTATCTGATATCTACTTGGTTTATAGGGAATTTAAAAAATCAAACCACAGTAGAGCTCCTAAGAGTCAGTAGAGAAGTCATTCTCCTACACTATTTGTTCTCTATCTGATTGCAGTACTGAAAGAAATTTAAATGTAGGTCATTGAACTTTTGTTTCAAGACATCTTCTGTCTCATAATCTTTCCAGAAGCCTGTCTCCATAGTTCTTCCATCTTTTTATATTGCATTTAGCATGTAAAAACATTCCTTTAAAGTCCTATCTTACTGAAAAAGATACAATAATTCTCAAATTGTACTTGACATTTGTAAATATGCTTTGTGAACATGATACATCTCATTGTAAAGTCATAAACAATTATCGAGTCATTAGCACAGATATTTTAAGTAGGATATTTCAAAACACTAGTTAGGGAATTATAAACAAAGAGACAGTTAGCATTGACTATTATTTTGTTATTTGAATGTTGATTACTATTTATTCATATGTAGACAGAAATGTCTGGAACAAATAAGTTAAGGATTGCATTTGACTACTGGTAATAGCAACCCCAAGAGAATATATTTATATTTTTATACATGTGAAGAATCCTTCAATGTAAGGGTAACTCTTAAAGTCATGCTCTCAGCCATATGCCCAATATTTATATATAATTATAAATTGCAGATCAGGAATACATTATAGCATATTCAGAAGTTAATTCTAATCATGTTATAAAAATAAACTGTGATAATGTTTGTAATAGATGTTCAACTTTGAATAATGTGGTCTCTGTAGAGGAGAAGAAATGATAATGAGGTTAGTAACAGAAAGATTTAGAATTCTGCCAATTCTTAAATTGTAATTAAGGTAGGAGAAAAACTAACAAAGTTTGATCTTAAAATAGATCAAACTATTGAATGACAAATAGATGACTAAACATCAACAATGATAGTGGACTAGAAGTCTGATTCTTAGGTAATGTTCCATTATAGTAGAAAGACGGCATGATAAAATATTAGAAGCTCAGAGAAATCCAACATTAATGAAATGTTGAAACATAAAAATTTTATTTTACTCATTCTTTTCCAAATGTATTCTCTGTGTTTAGTTTATTTTAACTTTAAACAGCTTTATGTGTCCAGAGAAAGCATTTGGAGAGAATCTGTGCAACTCTTCAGCACTCATTGTGTTGGCAAACTGTATATGCATTAAAGATGTGAACATTGATTCATGGTATTCACTCAGTTTAATTCTGGTTGTTTAAAGTAAAATACATTAAAAAAAAATTTTAGCCGATGGAAAACATTGCTTTAGTCTGCAGATTCAGATGGCCTGGATAGCTGTGCAGATAAAAACATAAATTTATATTGAGGGACTTGTTTCTGTAACTGAACTACATTCATACAGTATATCAGTATATTGGGAATACTTGCTGCCATCTAGTAAGACATTTGAATAAACCAAGAAAGTAGCTGAAAGATGACCTGAATTCAAATCTGTAAAATTTAGTACTATTAGATATAGATTTATATATAAATTCATTTAATTAACAACTCTTGATTACGATCATTTTGGTCTTTGAAAGTAATCTTAACGCAGTAAGTTATTTCTAGTTGTTTCTACTTTTGCTATTACTACTTCATTCTGGGAAAAAAAATATTTTTAAGCATCTAAAAAAGTTTTATTGGGAAAAGTATATGTTTCTGTCAGTAATAGGCAATGTTCCAATGGTTAATTAACAACATAATTGTAAAGGTTTCTTTGTGTGATTTCTTCTGGTTGAGTTTTTTTAGGGATGCCTGCTCTCTAAAACCTTAGTTAAAAAGATAAAAAAAAAAAAAAAAAAATGGCCCTCCCTGGTGGTGCAGCGGGTTAAAGCACAGCACTGAGAATCTAAATCCACTTCCGCATGAGTTCGATTCCCGCCTGCCCCGGAGGTAGACCTCTCCTGACCCGCCCGCTGCTCCCCTCAGCAGTGTACTTCCATGATCTGCCTGTTCTGCTCCCTACTCCGTCTCTGGTGAATCCTCTCACCCTCCGCAACTCTGGCCTGTACCCCAGTTCTGTATGAATAAATAAATAAATCTTAAAAAAAAGATAAAAAAAAAAACAAAGCAGATTAAAAAGATAAAAAAAAAACTTAAATTATTTCCCCATGTGTAGTACTTCAACAGTAACTGATAATGTCCAAGATTACATTCAAGAATTGGTCTGGAGTCAGTTGATTCATATGTATCCCTCAGAATTCATATGTCTCCCTTTAGTTCCTCAGATACAAACTATCTTTCACAATTTCAATGATGAAAAAGACTAACAAGGACAAAGACAATTTCATTATACAAATGTGGGAAATCTCCCCTTCCTATTTCTTTTGAACATAAACATGAAACTAAAATCAGTAAAATAACTTTCAATTTTTCACGTATCAGAATTTTTTGAAATGTGTATTGATTGAGTTTTCTTGTGAATAAGTATTTAAACTCATATCTTTTGTTAATTTTTCAACCCTTGTTAATGGTTATTCTAAAATAAAACATCAAAGCATTGCTTTTCAGTAGAATGCTGTAAAGCAATTGGGATGTTGTACTGATTTAGTTTGATATTCAGAGAAAGTATAAAAAGTTTGAGTAACTCTTTGAGCTTAAAGTACCCAGAAAATTTTTTATTTTAAATGAATCCCTGTTAGTGTTCTTGTGATTATCCTTTTTTCCTACATATTTGGTTCTGGGTATAAGAGTCAATTTATAGGTTATTATAAGTTTTAATTTATGAATATGGAATGAAGTCAATGGTGAATTGGCCATTATTAATAAAGTGAAAATACCATTGGCAAATGTTTGAGTTACTTCTCATACTAGTGAAATTTTTGTTTTATAGACTCTTTCACTCCTTACTGAGCTTGAAGAAGATAATTGGACATTCTGCACTGCTTCTTATTTTGAAGGATAAGCGCTCATATGACTTATTCTCTTCTGATACCCTCCTAGACATGGTTAGTTGATGTCTTCTGTATTCATTATAGAAATATATATCATTCCTTTATTTTTGGATTGGAAAAGATGAGATGCTTAATGAATAGAAATATTATAATAGGATTATTTGTACATTATTTGTAGGAACTTACTGTATGTGGAAAACATGCATTTTTTCATATATGTAAGTGATTTGTGGTATGCAATAAATCTTAGCATAAAAATAAAATAATAAACTTAATTTCAAAGTATTCAAATCTAACAGGTTTTTAGAACATTATGAAAATTATATTGTAAGGTAACTGGATTTGGCTATTTCACTTGATTTTAATTAGAGGCCCCTTAATATATGAAGTTATGTTAATCCATAATTTGTTCTTTCCTAATTTCAATTTGAGTGGCCCTAAATTGTCTTCTGTTTTGAGAATGAATTGATGGAGTGCTATAAGCAATACTGAGAATGTGTAAGATAGATAACTGACTGAGAAAATAGGACATAGCCATTAGTTTTGTATCAATCTCTGTGCTTAATTTTATTATGGACCTTGGAAAAGTTATTTAATAACTAGCTGTGAGCTTCAATCCATTTATCTGTAAGATGGGATAATACCTCTGCTAGCTTCTAATGTTAGAACAATCAGATCAGATTAATTGTATCAGAAAGTGCTCTGAGAGGAAGAACATGCAGTTCTATAGTCAGAAAGAAAGTGTGGTTTATTGCAACCCTCTTTACACTTCTTGATAACTCAGGTACTTAAAATTCAATTTGTCATTAGACTATAGTGAGTGATAGATGTTAAAGTTTTACATGTAATTTGAATTTATGTATATGAAATAATATTTAATTTAAATGTTTCATATACTGATGTTTATAGTTAAGTTGTGATTATACATGTTGATACTAAACATGCAGTAGATACTAATTTCTTAAGGATATGAAAAATGAACCAGAGTAATAAGGATTTTTTGCTGAATTGTTCCTAGAACACTGATCTACGTGGTTCTTAAATGCAGCTACCCCTTATGAACTGCAGTTTCTAAATTCTTTATTGAGAATATTTAATTCTAAATATACACATGAACATGTGCACATATAACAATTACTTATTTTGAACTTTCATGGACTGTAAAAAGGATTTTTTTCTGCTGAGCTCATTTTAAGATCTTTTGCTAAGTACTATTATACAGCCTATTTTGAGATTAAGTTTTAAAAGTAAATTAAAAATCTTTGTTCATTTTTGTAGGATTTCAAACAAAAGTCCCAAGGTTCTTTGCCACAAAATAATATAATAACTTTGAGTGCAGAGCCAAGGTAAATATATAATTTCTTATAAACTTTTACTGTTTTCTGCCTTGATTATTTTTTCTTTCATGATTCTCTTCCTTCTCTAGGCAGCAAGTGGTGCTATTTCATTTAGTCAATTTTCTTATTTAAGATTTTCTGGATAAATGAATTTTCTCCCATAACTGTTATATTTATGCTAACAGCTTATTATATTGATTATTGAATAACTATTATACAATATTTCTTACAGATATTTGACAAAGTATGGTATGATGTCACTTTATGATAAAAAGAAACCCTTATCTTTCTAATAATCAAAATTTTATATAATTAGATTATATTCTTTTGTGATTAATTTTAATTTACATACTATGTTTGCAACAATATCTTATTCTATCTTTTAAATAAAGGAACAAATTTAATTATTAGAATATAAGGTTTATGTAAATTGTTTACTGGATAACTATTTTCATGCTGGTTAAACTTCATTTTTAACATTATTGATTTATGTTAAAAAAAAAAGGAAAAGGTGTTCTAAATAGAAAGCTATTATTACTTTTTACAAATGAATGAAGAATAATGAGAAAAGTAATTCATAGTTTTCTCTAGGTATACTTTGTTAAATGTATATAAAAATAAATGGAATCAATATTACCATGAGGTTTACTATTGGTATACAGTTGAGATTTCAATGAAGCATAAAGTGAAGCATTATCTGACTAAATTTTTCACTAAGTAGACACTTAGCTCATACCTTAAGCAAGAAAAGTGGTTTTTACTAATATAGAATATCACTAAAAGTGTCACTAAAGTAATACTATTGATGTCATAAATAATCTTTCTTTTGGCCAGAAAGTTTTTAAGTCTTCAGTGTAATGCCTTGCAATAGTCTTAAAAGTCTCAGATTGCCAAGTTTAGTAAAAACAAAAGAATGTTACTAACACAGTAACAAAAGAATGTTACATAACACAGTTGTCTATGTGTTAAAATAAGAAATGGTTTGAAGCGTTTGGAGCTGTGTGTTCTTTATTGAATATTGTGCTCCTAATTAACTGTGGTATCAGTAAATTTGGTATAATCCTAATTAGCTTTCTTTCCCTTTTCCTACTTCAGTGGTGGAAGATCTTTGTTTTTGTTGTGTATAAGAATGACTTATGCAGTTAACAGTATTCATATTCTGTCACCACCCATTATTTCTCTGATGGGTGCTTATTAGGGTGGGTGGGATGAGATGGGGATGGGACTATAATGATTTAGAGGGGGAGACAGACTCTGTCTCTTTCTTCTATACAGTCTAGTTTCAACCAGTAGAAAGTAATGATTCAGCTGCTGAAATGGATTATTTTTTTCCCTTGTTGAGCTGTATGAGTTATTTATAAATCTTTGGTTTTGACCCTGTGCTGGATTTGTGATGTTCAAAAATCTATCATTCAGTAGGATGGTTTTTTTTTTTGTTTTGTTTTCACCAGTTTCTTTTTCTGTACGAAACATTCTAATTTGATGTAGTCCCATTTATTTTCCCTTGTTTTGTCAAGTTCCCAAAGACATCACTTAATCAATAACACTTGGTGTTTTCCCTCGATATATTTTGTGGTTTCAGTATATAATCTATTTGAATTAAATTTTGTGTTTGGAGTGAAATGTTAATATAGTTTCTTTTGCCTATGGCTGTTCAATTCCAGTGCTGTTTTGGAACCAGCTTTCCTTTCTCCATTATGCACTCTTGGCTCTTTTGTCATAAATTAACTGTCCATATAAATGTGGGTGGCTTTATAGGCTCTCAGTTCTATTCCATTGGTTTATGTGTCTTTTTTATTCAGTGTGACAAGAACTGGGGTCTAGACCAGAGGTGTGTGGTTGATGAGAGGATTCACCATAGATACAGTGTGGAGCAGAACAGATGGACCCATTGAAGTACACTGCTGAGGGGAGCAGCGGACAAGATAGGAGAGGTCTGCTGCACCTTGTGGGTTAGCTCCCTGGCCAGCGATAGAACTCGTATGTTTCAGTGACTGGCAATAGCTTGATAACTCTAAGACTTTAATCCTTGTACCACCAGGGAGGCCCAGTTCCATACGATTTTGATACCATAGTTTTGTATTATAGTTTGCAAATTGGGAATGTAGAACCTCCTTTCTTTTATGTCAGAATTGCTTTGGGTATTTAGGGTCTTTTATGGTTCCATATGAATACCATTATTGTTCTGTTTATTTGAAGAATGCTATTAAAACATTATTGTGCATTGAACTGGTATATGACTTTAGTAGGATGAATTACATTGAATTGGCATATTGCTTTAGAAAGACTGACATTTTACTAATGTGAGTTTTTCAAGTCCATGAGTGGGGATTTCTTTCCATTTTCTGCCTTATATTTCTTTTTATAATGTCTTTCAGTTTTCATTGTACATGCTTTTTACTTCTCTTGTTACATTTATTTCTGGTACTTAATTCTTTTTTATATATGGGATAATTATATAAATGGGATAATTGTCTTGATTTCTTTCTTTTCTGGTTGTTTTCATAAAGGACACAGTCTGTTTTTGTAGCTTGCCATGTATTGTATTGATTTATTATTCCTAATCGGTTTTTAGTGTAGTCTTTAAATTTTTCTATTCGTGTTATATCTTACACAAACAGTGATAATTTTACCACTACTTTCTCAGTTTAGGTTTCTGTTAAACTTTTGCTGTGTCAGTCGATTTACCAGAAATTCCAACAGTGTTTTGAATAGTAGTGGAGGTAGTTGACATCCTTCTCAACTGATTGTAGAAGAAAAGCTTTAAAGTTTTCACCATGGAGTATGTGGGTTTGTCACATGGTATGTATGCCTTTATTAAGTTGCAGTATCATCCTTACATCTCAAAAATGAATCTGACTTGGTCAGGATGTCTGATCCTTTAACCCATTTTTGTTTCACTTTGCTAAGATTGTATATGTGTGTGCTTTATGTCTGTTCTGTTCTTTAGAGACATTGGTCTTTAATTTTCACTTTTTTTTTTTGGTGGTACCTTGTCTATTTTTTGGTTTCAGGGGAATGTTGATCCCATAACATGCATTTGGAAAGCATTCCCTAGTCCTCAATTTTTTGGACAAGTTTTAGAAGGGTAGATATTATTACGTATTTGAAGGTTAGGTATAACCCAACGATTGAAACATTTCCTTCTGTGGTTCTGCTTTCTTGGGAGAGTTGTGATTACTGTTTTAATTGCCTTGCTTATACATGCTCTGTTTAGGTCTTCTCCTACCTGATTCAATAAATAATGGTTGTTATTTTTTGAAAATGTTCACTTTTTTAAAATTATCTAATTTTAGCTTATCATGATCCTCTCTATGTCTGAGATGGTTCCTGTAACTTTTCTTTCATTTCTGATTCTAGTTATTAATCTTTTCTCCTTTTTTTCCCGCTTAGTCTAGTGAGAACTTTATTTTGTTAATCTTTTTAAAGAAGCAGCTTTCAGTTTTATTGATCTTTTAGTCTGTCTCTTAACTTTCTTTCATTTATTTCTGTTCTAGCTTTTATTATTTCATTCCTCCCCCCCCCCCAGGAGAGTTTGGTTTCATGTATTCTTTTGTTTATCTAGTTCCTTCAAATGTAAAGTATCATTACTTATTTTACTTCTCCATTGTTTCTTAAAGTTTGGCTGTGTACATCTCTCTCTATAATACTTTGTTTCATTCCAAAGGTTCTGGTACCTGCTGTCTTCGTTTTCATGTGTCTCTAGATATTTTTAAGTTTCCCCTTTAATTTTCTTGTTAGTCCAGTACTTATTCAGTAACATCTATTCTTAATGTATTTGTGATTTTTTTCAATTTTTGTGTTTGACTTCCTATTGGTACTGTTGTGATTAGTGAAGAAATTATTTCAGTTCTCATTAATTCATGAACACTTGTTTTGAGGCCAGCTGTGTGGTCTCATTCACTTGAGAAGAATGTGTGCTCAGCTTTTAGTGGGCTCGGTGCCCTTTTAATACCTGTTAGCCTATCTGGTCTATCCCCTTATTTAAGTCTACTGATTTTCTGTCTGGTTGATCAATCCTTTGATTAATAGGGTGCTGGAGTTCCTGATACTATTATGTCCACATTAAGGTTTGTTAAAGGTTTGATTCTCCTTTGTTTGATACATATATATATATATATATATATATATATATATATATTTATAAATCTATGACTTACTGTTATATTGTAATCCCTTAATTATGGTATGTTTCATATCTGTCTCTTATTAACTTTTATTATGACTGGAAGTGTATTTTGTATAATTGTAACTATTCCTTCCTGTTTTAGGGTATGATTTGCTTGTACTAATGCTTTCCATCCTTTTACTTTGATACTATATTTATCTTTGGAACTCATGGGATCTCCTGCAGAGAGCAGAAGGTTGGATTTTGTTTTCTCATCCAATCATTCCTTTTGATTTGTGAGTTCAGTCCATTACATTATAAATATTTATATATGAGGATTTGCTACTGCCATTTTGCTTACTTTTCTAGTTCTTGACTACTTATTTCAATTTTTTAAATTCTGTGAGTTCACAGAATTCTTCTGTGAATATTTTCAAATTCTGAAAGTCCATAGAATTCTTCAATTCTTCTGTTTGGTCTGATCTTCCTTTTGGATAGAAGAACTTTTTGAAACAGTTCTTGTTTGGGAGGTTTAGTGTTAACAGATTTCTTCAGCTTTCGTTTGTCTAAAAAGACCTTTATTTTACCTCTCATGACCTTCAATATTGTTTTTTTTTTTTTTTTGAACTCCTTATTGTTTCACTGCTGTGCACCTTTATGTAGATTTTATTTGCACTTTTATAATGAAGGATTTTTTTTAGGTTGTATAATTGATGTATTCCCCAATATTTAGTTTCTCTCTAATAATGCTTTTAGTATGCTCAGTTACACTCTCTCTGCTTCTTTGGTACCCATTGTCCTTCTGTTGCCTTTCCTGTTTGAGTGAAATAGTTCTCATGGTGATTTTTTTTTCCCCCTAAGTCGTCTCTCTCTCTCTCTCTCTCTTTCTCTTTCCACCTGA